TGACATGATAAAAAACCTCTGCATATCTCATTCTATTAAACTCGCCTTTCCTGCTTAAAGGTAAAGTTCTTAGATGTTTTTCTCACATATCTGCTAATGTGTTAACATGTTAAACCGTGTTTCTATTTCTAGCCTTCACTTAGCAAAAGTTTATCAAATTTTGAAAAAATAAATGTATCTTCAAAGTTTCTTCATGATTATGACCACAGTTAAGGAATAACAATGAGCTAAGTAAATGTAATCTGGGGAAAGAGAAATGGGAAATGTCTTAAAATAATACTTAAAGATTCCATATGTTTGACAGCAGACAATTAAATTCTATGCGTAAAAAGACAAGCAGAAAACATACACAGTCCCATGAAACAGTTTGTGTCAATATAATTTTAACATATATGATTACAGAGGCATTTGTAAAGACAGATTCCAAAAGAATACCTCTTGGGTAATTTTTGAACAGGGGCCTCCTGTACTTAGCAAGAAACTGTACTGAACAGTGTTTGGAACTCTCTCTCCACTCCCTGATTCTGAATAATGCCATCAGATTTTAGGAACAAGTCAGGATATAAACTTTAGTAGCTATTTTTCACTATTTTGTTCATGATTTGCAGCAATATTAAATAAAGTTCTCTTCAGAAAAAAATCAAAATTTTTAAAAAACACTTACAGATGCAAAGTGATCCCCATATCTCTCAGCTCTTTCACTGACAGCAAAGGTGAGATTATATCTTGGCCAAATCTGTCATAAATGAGAACCTGAAATAGATACACATCATCTTAAAAAGTGCTGTAAAAAGTGGATACTGGAGAATATAGGATACAGTGGATGCAGCAACTCAGGTTTAGGAAACTACTACCCTAACGTGAAAAGTGCTTAAACATCTACCAATTTAAAATAAATCATTAATTTGTCATGGACTTCCATTTGTGCTTATGAATAAATAAAATATAAAAAAAAACAAAAGAAACTCAGTCACAAAAGGGGGAAAAAGAACCATCACGTCTATCTTCTGTAAACTGTCTTGACAAACAAGTCTGCTGTCAGAAATTTGTTATTGTACGTGCAGAGTTTTTCTGACTGCATTTGGGAGAAAACAGTAGAAGATGCAGAGAGGAATTAGTGAAAAAAGACAACAGATGAAGAGACAGAATATACGCTTTGTAGTAGCAACATCTCATGAACTGCAAGTCACATTTTAAAGGTAATAAAGGTAGCTCAACTTGTTCAAGGCTAACAATAGTTCTTCCCTTTGTATGGACTTCTTTCTGACTTTGAGTTTACCTATAAGGTATCATGCAAGCTTCTGTCAATGGTATGAATGAGATCTAAGTATATTTCAAAAATATCCTCCTCAGTTACTCAGTAAAATATTGCCTAAAGAATCAGTCATTTAGTCCTTCAGTCATCAAGCAAACAACATCTGAATTCTTCTCAGCAGTTCTGATAATCAATTCTGTATATTTATAATACAGGAAAAAATATTTCGTACAAGTTAACATAGGGAAGATGAACTCGAGTTAGCTAAAATTTGCAAATCTGAACTTTTCTGAACACTATAAAATTCTCATATTCCTGTTCAAATAGTTCTTACCTTCCACACTGGTTCTCCCGTGCTGTTTTTAACAGGAGGGACATTGAAGTTCAGCATACGTTTCAAAGCCACTGGAAAACAAGCTAAATTACTCTCTTTACATTTCAACAACAGTGATTAAACACATTAGCAGTGTTTTATTAAACATTTCATTTGAGAGGAAAACCATCATAAAATATAAAGGCAACAAATCAAATTTTCATTACTTTTATACAGCTTTGACTGACAAGTGGCTTATATCAGATAGAATTTATGGGGTCCAGAAGACACTGGAAAAGCAAGTTCCAAAACATTAACTCTTCTTAGTTATACAAGCTATATGACGTGGTTTGCGTTAAAATAAGTCCAGTATCTTCCTTAAGGTGCATTCTAGACACTAGGAACTAGTTTGCTTTATTCCCTGATCTGCTTTTCCTACTCCACTGGAACAACACTATACACACAAACAAAAAATACCTTTATGCCTGACTAAAACTGATACACATTTTAAAACATTTTGAGAAGTCATAAGAGGAAATTGCTGCTTTAAGGGGTACAAAAATATCCTTAATTTGCAGCAGGACAACTCTTTGAAACAGGAATGAACTCTCATGTAACTTGCCATTCAACACAGAAACAAAGCAGATTCCTTCACCTACTGCTAATGTATAAATCTATTAAGTAATGAGTCCTTCCTCAGTTACCTGATTAAACAACACACTGTGTGCTGTTCTCCCATCTTTGACTAACAGCAAAGGACTATTTGCATCATTATAAATTAGTGGCTATTCTCTTCAAACTCATAACCAAAATCATCACAATGTTTTGCAAAGAGGAAAATCAGAGCAATGTATATCACTTCGCTCATAAACAGAAAGTAGTAGAAACAGTTAACTTCTGAATGAAGCCTGTGAGCATACTCAGTGCAGTTCCCTGGGATTTACAGTATCACAGGACGGGTCAGGCAGGAGAGGACTTTGGGAAACCTCCAGTGCAACCTGCTGCTCAAGCAGGGTCATCTGTGAGGCTAGGCCAGGCTGCTCAGGGCTTTATCCAGTCAAGTCTCGAGGGGTGGATATCCTACAACCACACTGTGCAACCTGTGGCACTGACTGTCCTTGTGGGGAAAAAGTTTTTCCTTATATCCAGTTTGAACATCTCATTTATGTTATGTAGTTTATGCCAGTTGTCCCTCACCCTGTTGCCATACACCAGTTCAAAGGAGCCTGGCTCCATCTTCTCAGTGCTGCCCATAGGTATTGGGGAGCTGCTGTTTGGTTACCCCTGAAGCCACCTTTCCTTCAGGCAGAACTAGCCCTACTGCTGCAGCCTCATCTCACTGCTCAAGCCCCTGATAACCCTGGTAGTCCCCACTGACTCCCTCCAACTGCTGGATGGCTTTCCTGCACTGTAGCCACAAACTGGATGCAGCATCTAGACACCGTCTCCTGGGGCTGGGCAGGGGAAATAATCACTCCCCTCCATCTACTGGCTGTGCTCCTGTGAACATGGTCCAGGATGCTGCTATGCAGGGGCTCACTGTGGGCTCACGTTCAGCTCGCTATCCACTGAGACCCCTTGCAGGCCTTTTTGGCAGCTGCTCTCCATCAATCAGTCTGGCAATCCCAGACTGCTCTCTAGTGTGACAAAACACTGTTGCCTGTACGTTGCAAGGGGTTCTTCCTTTCTAGGTGCAGGAATTTACATTTGTCATTGTTAAATTCCATAAGATCTCTGCTGGCCTATTCCTCTCGCCCATATAGGTGCCTCTGAGTGGCAGCTCTGCCCTCAAGTAGAACAGACTCCCCTAGTTTGCTGTCACTTGCACACTTAATCAGAGTACGCTCTGACACTTCCTCCAGGTGACCAGTAAGAGATTTGAAACAGGAGAGGTCACGGAATATGCTCATGCGGTGCTCCAGTTGTTACTAGCCTCTAGGTACATTATGTTTGATTAATCACAACTCTCTGAGCCTGATCATCCAGCCTTTTTGTTTTATATATCTAGTTGCTCATCCATTCAGTCTGTAACATCCTAACCTGGATACAAGAACACAGCATCAAACCCCTTGCTGACGTCAAGGTAAATGACACACTCTACTGTCCCACTGCCTACAAGTCCAGTCATTTTCTCGCTGAAGGCAATTAGGTTGGTCGGACATGATTTACCATACATAGATCCATGCCTGCCTTTTCCTTCATGTGAAGAGAAGTATTTTCCAATAGGACTCACTCCATGATTGACTCCAAAGTGACACAAAGGCTGGAAGATCGTTGCTGAAGACTGAGGCAAAGGCAGCATTGTGTTCCTCAGCCTTATCTGTGCCTATCACCACTAAATGACCAGGTCCATTTAGCAATGAGCCAACGTTTTTTCTTATTCACATTTTTGCTACTAATGTTGCAGCAGAAGCACTTCTCATTTCTCTAGACAGTAGCTGCACCGTTCAACTTCACTTGAACTTTGGCTTTCCTAACACTATCTATTCACATCCAGCCTGTCTCTGCTTCCTCCTGGGTACTGTCCTTTCAAATCGCATTACTAGCAGTGGAACGTGACTGTGGGAAAATCCAAGCTAGCAGTGAGTGCTGAGTCTCCCTGGAAACCAGCATTCCACTTCCTTCATACTTTTTTATTTTCTTCTTTTTTAAACACCATGGAGCAGTCCTGAAAGTTGATTACAGACTACTCCTGGATTCTTTGGTCCCTCACCACTGGTGACATCTTCAGCCAATGTGAGCAATTTTTTTAAAGCTCTACGGTTATGTATTTTGGTACTACTGGAGCTGAAACAGCTGCTTTGCAGTTTATCATCTAAAGTAAAACTTAGCATAAGCTCTCTGTGAAGGAAGACAGTAATCAGACTAGTTATGTGCTGTGACAATCAAGATAAACATTCAGCAAGTCTCTGAGTTTGTTTTTTTGTACTGATATTGCCATTTCATTTACTTTTATGCTGAATGTTCCCTGGGGCAAGGATCATATTTTTACTGTGCTTGCACAATGATATGCTTTGACTGGTTATGAACCAGGATAAAGGTCACAACAGATGGTGTACATACGTGGTAATACAAACACTAAATGATAATAAATCTTTCCCTTTTTCCATGTATCTTTTAGTTCCTGAATCTATCTCCTTGCAAAAGACACAAGAGAAGACAATACAGGTTCAGTGGTAAAGGCTGACTGAAATAATCAAGTAACAGTTGTCAGCAAATGGACAGGGGGACTGAGTGTCCCCTCAGCAGGTTTGCCAATGACATCAAGCTGCGTGATGAGGTCACAGAATCACAGAATTATTTAGGTTGGAAAAGAGCCCTGAGACCATCAAGTCCAACTGCTGACTGATCACCACCTTGTCAACTAAACCATGGCACAATTGCCACGTCCAGTTGTTTCTTGAACACCTGCAGGGATGGTAACTTCACCATCTCCCTGGGCAGTCATTCCAATGTTTAACAATCCACTCTGTGAAGAAATTCCTCCTCAATAAGCTGGAGCGAAGGGATGCCATCTAGAGGGACCTTGACAGGCCTGAGAGGTGGGACTGTGCAAACCTCATGAAGTTCAACAAGGCCAAGTGCAAGGTGCCGCAGCTAGGTTGGGGCAATCCCAAGCACAAATACAGGCTGGGCAGAGAACGGATTTAGAGCAACCCTGAGCAGAAGGACCTGGGGGTGTTGGTGGATGAGCTGGCAATGTGCACTTGCAGCCTAGAAAGCCAACTGTATCCTGGGCTGCATCACAAGCAGCGTGGTCAGCAGGGCAAGAGAGGGGATTCTGCCCCTCTGCTCTGGTGAGACCCCACCTGGAACACTGCATCCAGCTCTGGATGTGGACCTGTTGAATCAAGTCCAGAAAAGATCCAGCAAAATGATCTGGAGGCTGGAATACCTTTTCTAAGAACACAGGCAGAGGGAGCTGGGTTTGTTCAGCCTGGAGAAGGTTTTGGGGAGACCTTACAGCAGCCTTCCAGTACCTAAGGCAGGTTAGAACAATGCTGGAGAGGGACTTTTCACAAGGGCTTGTAGTGATAGGGCAAGGGGGAATGGCCTTAAACTGAGAGTAGGTTTAGATTAAATATAAGGTAGAAATTCTTCCTTATGAGGATGGTGAGGCACTAGAAGTGGTTATTCAGAGAAGACGTGGATGCCCCATCCCTTAGAAGTGTTCAAGGCCAGGATGGATGGGGCTTTGAGCAGGTGTCCCTGCCGAGAGAGGGAAGAGGTTGGAACTAGATGATCCTTAACCCAACCCACTCCATGAACATGGTGAAGCACAACAGAAAAGAATAAAGCTGTACAGAACATGAGCACAAAGAAATGGGCTTTATTAGACAGGTAGAAAAGAGAAGAAAAGCAAAAGATTGGAAAGGAACATCAAGTAGCACTGTCAATAGCAGATGGACATAGGAATGAGATTGCAGAAAGGACTCCTGGTACAAAAAGATGGAGCATACTAGTCAATACTTAAGGCACACACAGAGACTCTGACTTTTTTTAGTCAGATGATTTTAAACATTTCATGCTAAATAAATGCATCCAGAATCGTCTATACCACCAAAGATACCGCAGTTGTCAATGAGAAACTGACAGGATTACAGCTCAAACTACTTTCAACTTTGGTAAGCAAGGGAAGTAGAGAGGACTGCGGAGTCGACATCCTCTATGCTTTAGGAGTAAATTCAAAGCTCTACAGAGATTAAAGAGTCAATTAAGGACTCAGCAATCTGTAAGAAGTGACTGAATAACAAACACTTTACTCACAGAAAACCTGCATCATTAGTTGTTAACCTCGTGTTCTGAATTTCTTGACAGTCAGTACGTAGTATTGTCTTAACACGAGCATCACAACAGCAGCCTTATTTAACGCTATTTCCCGTTGATCCTTCTCACGGGCAGGAGGAAACCAAGACGGAGGATGCGCGTCCATGGTCGTGGGAGAAGACACCGTTCCCGTCCCGGACCCGCTCAAGTTCCTCCCCGAGGGCGCCTTCCACACCCCGGCGGCACCTACGGCCGGGGCCCGGGGGCCACAGCGGGGCCGGGGCTCCTCGGCGAAAGCCGCGGCCCGAGGCCCCCGAGTAGAGGCGGCGGAGCGGCGCCCCAGCTGCCACCGAAGCAGAGGGCGGTGGAGGGGCCGCCACCCACCTGCCGGGAGACCCAAGCCAGGAGAGAAGGTGCGAACCCCTGGCGGAGGCGAGGCGGCGCCCACACCCCGCCCCGCAGGGAGACAGGCAGGCGCCCCCGGCGGCAGCGTGCGGCTGACCCGGCTCCCTCCCTGCCCCGAGCCCCGGGAAGGCGCCGCACGGCGAGGACGGCGGCCGGCGCTCACCTGTCTGCTTGTCCCGGATACCGGCCGCCATCTTCCCGCCCGCCGTCCCGGCCGCACCGCCCCGCCCCGCCCGCCGCCTGCGCAGCCGCCGGGACACGTGGCGGCCCCTGCGCGGGGGGCGGGCCCGGCCCGGCCGCGCCTCCGGCCCCGCCAGGTGCGCAGGGAGCGGCCGTGCGGGAACTGCTGCTTACGGTCCGGCGGGGGGGCCTGCGCTTTAGCCCGGCTGACAGCGGCATTTTCCACCTTTCCCCACCCCCGAGCAAAAAGCCGCAGGAGCAGTGTTTGCTCTCGCACTGAAGTTTCATGGAGGGAACTGGAACAGCTCGGATGCAAGCAGCTGAGCTGCACTCGGATTTGAGTACATGAAAGGACTCAAGTTTCAAAACCAGCCAGCTAGCTATAAATAAAGTCATCAAGGAAAAATAGTTTCGAGTTTGCTTGCCTCTGCCCCAGGCAGCACATCTCCAGAGGCAGCCTTCCTTGGATTCTCCATGCTCTTACAGCATCCTACAGTGGGAAGAGCCCCATTCGCCCTAACACAGTTTTGGATACAAAGGTATCTGGATAAACATGCTATATATTTATATAGGTACACAAATGAAATTACAGAAAATAGCGATAAGTTAATGGGTTTTAACCCTGTAAGTGCTAACAAAAAAAAAAACAAACGCTGAAGAAAGTTCCATATTTAACCCTTTATTGCACTTTGAACATATACATAACATTTCCCGCAATTACTGATTATTTCAACATTGATGCTACACCTGTCACATATAATGTTGCTTGAAGATGCAACAGTTCAGGTACTGATCCTGCAGTTCAAGTTAGAGCTAAAAATATTTACAAAATTACATTTTTTTAATTACCATAAGTTTAAAAAGAACATTGTTTATGCAATATAAAAATCAGAGGATTGAATTGTTGGTTTGGGTTTTTTTACATACATTGATGTTTCAAAAACTACTTTCTGTATGCATATGATTTGACACTTCAAAAGTTTAAGCATTTTAATTTTTCTTTTGTCCAGCTAGGAACTCCCTTAAGTAAAAATCAGTAAAGTTTGAGCTTTAAAATGCTATACCGTATAATACAGAATCAAGATAAACTTTAATATTTTGTAGGCTGCAAAGTTGCATTTCTCTCTATTTAAAATATTCTTTTAATACTGTTTTCAAAATATATATGTAAAATGCGAGTCTGAATTAATGACCAATGCTCTCAAAACCCTCAGGTCTTCACAGGCTGAACATCTTAATGAAAAATGTCAAAACTGCAGCACACAATCATTTAGACTTTAAGTATAAATGAAGTTCTCCTTTTGACTCTATTTCACTCTTAAGCCAGTTAGTTAAAAATGCTAACAGCTTTTTCTGGTAAGCATCCTTTGAATGGGTGAAAGCAAGTCAGAAATTTCTTATTCCTTTGCTTTTCAAACATAGAGCTAAAATACTTGAGGGTGTTTTTTATTCTATGTGCATTGTTAAGGAGACCATACTAAACCCACTAATATATTATTGTTTAGTATAAAATTATCACTCTAGAAAATAAATAGCTTATTTCATATGCTAATTCCAGATGGATGCTTTGGGTTTGATGCAGAAACTGTGGGGTGAAGTTTTGTGGCCAAACACAAAGAGCACTGCCAACAAATTTTACAGAGGATGCAAATTCCGTAAGAATATATTTACTACATAACTAATGTATATACAATTATTCTCTCTGTTACAGAAATACTGAAACTAAGCAAATTCCCTAATTTCCAGGTGTGCCTCAGGTTATGTTTATGTAAAATGAAAACTACTCGATAATATTGCACTTTCGAGACCTGCTATAATAACAAAAAACCTGACGGTCCTTTTAGCTATGTAAACTGCTCTTACATTTGAAGGACAAGGGAGACCTTTCTGTGTTTTGATGAATCGGTAGTTAGCTTATTCAGTGGAATTCTAATGAACAGTTTAAATAAATTCAAGATTGGTCTATATAAACAAATGCTGAAAATGCGAAGAGGAGAGGAATACAACTGGAATGTACTGGAATGTCTAGATAGAGCTGATCAAACCAACAAAAAAGGAAAGAAAACTTGTCCTGAATGCATAGACATCAGTATTAGAAAATGGGAACCAATTCTATGTTAGAGAAACCCTTTCAAGCAATATTAGATACTACATAATTTTACAAATTCAGTGTTTGGATATAGCATTGTATAGCAGAAGGTTTTGAAGTTAACATTTCCTACAGCTGACCTAAAGGTTAGTTCTACCTTTACATAAAACCCTTTCAACTGCTGAATTCAAAGGAAATAAGCAATAAAAGGTGTGAACTCTACTTTTGTAATCTCAGGTATGTTTTTGAAGCCCTCTATTCACATTATCTTTGTATTTCTTTCTCCTTTGAAGGTTTTAAAATGTAGTTTATATAGTTCCAAGTTCTGAACAGTTTCCCTTGTCACTGCAGATGCCGGAAGTCCAGGAATTGTCCATTAAAATTATTCACACTCTGTTTGGTACTCCTGTGAGTTCTGTACTTCTCACACAGAAAAATCACATAATATTACAGAAGACATTTATCTTTAACTAGGCAAGAAAAAGGAATACTGCACTGGGTACACTGCTCATTTTTGAAGTACAATATTTGCAGGACTCATTGCTGTATTTTAAAAATACAAACATACAATATGAATCCTTATTATGCAAACAAATTTGCACCAAGCCATTCTCCTTATAATGGCAATAGACCATTCTGAAGGCTAAGACTACAAAGAAGTTATTGGAAGAATGAGACTCAAAAATTATGCGGAGATGAGAAACATGGAATATTATTGGAGGAAAAAACCAGAAGACAGTGAGAAAATGCTTAGTATATAAAACAAGTCAAATTACATTCTCTAAGAGTTCATACATTAATTTTAAGGTAGACTTTAATATGCTTTTGACTAAGAACCAAAAAACACTGTTAGTCCTGTGTTAATTTCTTATATTCTTAAATTTCTAATGATGGGACTTAGATCAGATATTTCTCACTACTTTCAAGTGGCTTAAACAATCTAATCTCATCAAAGGCTTGTAATAATTTCCTTAGACTTTGAAATTAAAAAAAAAAAATTAAAAATTAAGGGGCAACGTGGCATACCTGCTTTTGTTACCCAGTGATAAAAATAGGTCTTAATATAAAAAGATTAGCACCTCTCCCAGGATCAAGAAAGAAAGAGAAGCTGCAGCAGTTTAAAAAAGATTTCAAAACACCTGCATCACAGTTTTACTTGAAACAAAGCTCTACAGAAATTATCTTCAAGATGTGCCCGACTTGCCTTTGATAAATAAGTTACTGAAGTATGTGATACAATCCACAGACTTAGCTGTTACACAGTTTGGTACTTATACTTGTCTACAGCAAAAGTAGATATTTAAAATACTTCTGCAAGAGACTGCTGACTCAAGTCAACTTCAAAAGGAGAATTATTCAAGAAATAAAGCATATTCTGATTTGAAAATTGTTTTTCATCTTACAATATTACTACTTTTAGCATATCTTTGGAGGAAAAGTGGGAAAAGACTGAGAGCACATTGTCCAAAAATACAGTAGCAAATTGGAAGTAGATGTTCTTGCAGAAAACTGAAGTTTCCAACATCCAGTTTAATAGCAAAAATACTTATTCACTTTCAACTCTTAATGTGTTTCTGATGGTGAGCTCCATTTTATTTTTAAACTGCTGGTATGTATTTGTTATAGGGAGTTCTAAGCAATTAAGGAGTCTGTTTCCAATGGGATACCTTATACGCAAAAATTTAATAGTAGGTTCAGGATCAAAACCAATGGATGGTATAGAAGAGGAGCCTGTTACGAACAGCAGAATATCCTCAAACGTCACTACAGACTCACCACCTAAAAAAATAGGATTAGGTGTTATTTATCACTGATGGTCTATTACACATAAACCATTATCCTACATGCTAAGCATTAGATCAAAAAAAGCCCACATAAAATGAGATCAATATGCTGAATAAATATGCAGTTCTATGGCTAAATAAGAAAATGTTTAACAAGCAAAACTCACTTCGGTTAGTTCTGAAAAATCTTAAGTGAATAGAAAAAAGCCTCTTCTGTAAGAAAAAGATAGAAAACAGTGGGCTTGAAGACTTTAGACAAACTATCTAATAAAGGATTTTTCTGTGTCACTTGTGTTCTGTTTTCTTTTTAAATTCACAGGAGCTCTAGTTCCTAGCTTTCCTTTATTGACCCCTCTAAAGTTTGATTATAATTGGACAACAGTTTCAGAAATTCTAATTAGTAAGAAAGAGGGTGAAGAACAACAATTAGGAACTGACAGTGACTGCAAACCCTTGGATTTATTTATCCCACTGAACTCTATAAATCAAACCCTGTATATATATATACACCAGGGTTTATATATACCCTGAACAGGGAAGGGGAGAGAAAAAAAAATTACTTACTTTCCACATCTTGCAAATAGCCCATCCAAAAATCAGCACCTTTAACTTTATTTACATCTGATGAGGAATGGATTGAAAAGAGATCACAAATAGTTTCTGCTGAAAGTCTTTCGGGTTTGTGGCACAATATGCTAGAGAATGCATCTGGATGCATTTGCATTTTCTCTAGAATACCAAGAGTTTTCAAACCTTGCCTAAAACTAGGAGAGGGAAAAGAAAAAAAAAAAAAGAAAAAGAGTGACCATGCATCAGAACTCTCTGTTTTATAAAGCTGCAAGATTGGATACAATAAATCTCCATCTGCTGTCTCCAAGTCTTCTCAATAAGGTCTACATAGTAGTCCCATTTTAGCTTGCAAAATATGTTTAACTCTCATTTTAACAATCTAGATGTTTCTATGGAGCTTTTTGGGCAGATGAAAGAAATACCAGTGATATGCAGAAATTATTTCCTAGTACTTGACTGTGTGTGCAAAGTTTACTTTTTTTACATAAAACATAACAAATCTCTTTCTTACGAACATCTCTTCAGAAAACAGTTAAAATTCCTTGTCTTTAGGTAAAATGAGATGTCTTAAAAGATAGCCTTTGCTTGGCTTCTGCAAGTCTGCGTGTGCTTATATGCTATTATTTCTCCCTGTGGCAAATGCAGATAACAGTATCCTGGGCTGTACTAGGAATTATGGTGCCAGCAGAGCAAAGGAAATGATCCTTTAACTCTGCTCAGCACTGGTACGGCCACACTTGAAATGCTGTGTCCAGTGCTGGTCTCCCCAGCACAAGAGGGAAATGGACACACTGGAGAAGAGCACTAGCAAAGGGTGACTCGGATGATTAAGGGACTGGAGCATAACCCTATGAGGAAAGGCTGAGAGAGCTGGGATGCTTCAGCCTGGAGAAAAGAAGGTTCAGGTAGAATCTCAATGTCTACAAGTATTTGAAGGGAGTGTGCAAGGAA